TGAAATTGGGAGAGAACTCAAAGAATGCAAAGGCTCTGCTAGGGCATCGCGTACGTGAGTGAGAGAATAAAGATTGGGCTTTTGGGGTTTTAACTGTGTGCATTTGGACTGGGCGGTTTCTTTACAATTGGACCAACAGTTTTTCCATTGACCAGGCGGGTCAGTTGGGTTTCAAACGGGTTGGCTGCACAGTGTGAGTTAAATGAGGCTCGAACCGGACCATGGTCCGGTTCGACGGGTTCCGGATCGAACCGGCCGGTCCAGGTTTAAAAACTATGCTGTATACGCACGAGCTCGGCTCGTGCTCGAAAGGTCGGCTCGTTACTCGTGGGTTAAGCTCGACTCGTTAGCTCGATTTATTTATTTATTTATTTTTAGCTATATCTTTTTTTAAACCTTAAAAAAAAAGATATACATTTTCTAAACTTTTTTTTAGATAAACCTTTTTAAAAAAATTAAAATAAATAAACCCTCCTCATTTATCCGTTCTTGAGATCGACTACTTCAATTTCGAGTAGTCGGAGTTAAAAATTGCACACGAACAATTTGTTACGTGTACAATTTTTTTAAAAAATTATAAAGGTATTGTAAAAAAATTTTCGATGAATATGATTAAATTAAATATTACTTACTTGGCGAGATATAATTTTGACATATTTGTCTTGCAGTAAAAAATGATCGTCTTGACAGTCCTTCACGCACATTAATACTTTCAAAATATCTTCTTTCAATCGGCTTCTGACCTTGGACAGAACCCTCTTACCTTCACTAAAAGAAGACTCCGAAACTACAGTGTTAGTCGGATGTGTTAGTATGTCTTTTGCTATCATAGAAACCACTGGTTATCGGCGTTCGTACTTTGGCGAGAATTCAATTATTTTTTCTGAACTTTTCTTAATTTTTTTTATTACACATATTATGATTAAAGTAATCAATTAATTCAGTAAGTAATGCATTTGGACTTGAGTCCGATATTTGATTATATGCAATAGACAAACTACTACTAGAGGAACCACATGCATTTGAATCATATCCATATGAGTTAATACTTTCGAAGAAAGTTAAAACTTCAGTATCGTCTTTTAGTATATCAATGGAAGGAGTAGGTGCAGAGCCAGAGGGTACCCGATTAATATTTGTACAGATTCGTTCTACATATAATTTATACATTTCACATAAAATTTGTTCTAAATTTTTATAAGTGATAGGTACATTAAAAGTTAAAGCTCTTGAAATCTGATCAATTACAAATTTAGTACCCGATAAATTATATCGGGGGTACATGATGTATGCTAACGGAAATAACATAGGCAAGTAGTCTCCCAATATTTTCTAAACTTTAATTCCACAGAATATATAATTAAACTAAAATCGGGGTCATTTTTATAACTATGAAAAGCTCTATCAATTATATAAAGGCGTTCAAGGACTATACAATTAGTGAGATAATAAACTCCAGATAAAATATTTGTAGAATCATAAAAATTTGTCAATTTTTTTTAAATTTAAAAGCTAACATCCAATCGAACTCATTCAAAATAGTATCGTCATTTTTTATAATATACTTATTGTTATAAAATTCAGTTATTAAATGTTCAAAGCATTCGCAAGAATTTAATAATAAATAAGTGGAGTTTCATCTATATCCTATGTTACTAATAAATGTTTTCGTATGCGTCACCCCAAATTCGACACAAAATTCCTCAAATGCTTGTTTTCTACTATGTGAAATCGTGATATACACCAGTGCATCTCTAATTCTTTGAATTTCATTCTTAATATGTTTTAAACCGTCTTACACTATTAAATTAAAAATATGGCACACATCGAATATAAAACAAATAACCACCGAAATTGGGTTGCAGTACTCTACACAATTTTTCGATAACTACCTTATTAATAGTAGCGTTGTCGAATGTAAATAAACGAATTTTACTCTCGCAATGATATTCTCTAATAATGTTCATATTAGCATTAAATATGTTGTTAGTGTTATGAGGGAACTTAATAATTTTAAAAGCAATAATTTTTTTACACATACATCAAAGTGTGTCTATGTAGTGTGCAGTTTGCAGATATATAACCTCTTTTATTAATCACTTTCCATATATCCAAAGTTAAAGATATAACATCCTTATATTTTTCTAAATCGACAATCAATAGTTTCTTTGTATGAAGAAAATATTCTATTGTATCAAACGGAGAGTGTTTCGACTTATCCCAACGTACCTCTGTTGAAGATATTCTTTCATGTATGAGGCGAAATGTTGGTTGTCCGCTATTGCTAGAGGCAACTCAGCAGCGGTAATGAACTTCACCATTTTCGTTCGAGTTTTCTCCTCCGAATACATCCACGTAGAAAGTGATGTAGTAGTAGAACTGGTGCCTGGACTACCAAATTGTAGTTGAGTTTGACCAACAGGAAGAAACCCATGTTTGGCCGTAAGGCTTTGTAGTGACAGTTGAGATGGGTGGTTCCAATACCTTTTTGCCACGCCAATCATTGTTTACAGTATTTATATACTGGAACTCCATCGACCTCACAACCTATTTGAATCAATTTGAAGTGATTCCAATATTTTGCCTGTGTTTTTCCTTTTCCCTTTTCTCTTCCCTCTTGCATCGAAAATATCTAATTTAGGTTCATCCTCCAGTTCCGCCTCGAAATCAACGTCATCAAAATCAATTGGATTACTGCTTCCATGAGCATCGAAATCCAAAATATTTTCGAGAATAGGTACTTCATTTAGACTGGTGAATTTATTCTGAAATTGACTTTGCAGCGTGATAAGTGATTCGCCTCTGATACCGAACGAGCTTTCAATAAATGAGCGTGAATCTATTTGTGAATTGATAAAAAAATGTATAGTAAGTAACAAATTAAGAATTGAAAGAAAGTTGGCATTTAAGAATGTAATTGAAAATTTGTGCTGTGATAATTGATATTGAATAATTGAAATTGAATGTAGAAGTAGAATTGAGATATGAATGTAAACTATGTAGTAGTCTAAAAAATATATTGTAAAATCAAGATTATAACTCAATAATGTAAAATGTAGAAGAGAATCAAGAAATTAGAAAGTAAAGAATGAGAGTTGGGTGGAAAAAATGGATCAAGGGAATGATATTTATAGGGAAAACAATGAAGGAAATAAAAATAAAAAATAATTGAGTGACCATTTCGGTCACTGAACTTTTGAGGCCGCCTATTAACGAACCCACGGGCTGCACGTTGCAGCTCACGAGCCATTTTTCACAATCCGAGAGGCTGTTATTTCGACCGCTCGGCTCAATTGTCACCTCTATGAATATCGTCCTTCTTACAAACACATCAATCAAAAAGCAAATCAAGATTGATGAATACTGAAGTTTTATATCGCGGGTTGGGACCCAAAAAATGAGATCATGATCCCTGTTGTGCATTGTGTTTGGATAACATGGAGAGTTGTGACAAGGTGAGGGAACTTTGGAATTGTGTGCATGCGTTTCAGAAATTGAATGTAAATAAATATAAGATTATGCTAAAGATGTATTAGCTATTCAAAAATTCACAATTGCTTTCAAGTTTGCATTCTCCGCTAGGTCGAATTCTCAATTCTTTTGAAATTCATTGACTGTAAAGATGGTCGTGAGAATTAGCATGACTAAGAGATTAAAACTAAATTATTCTATTATGGTGTTGCATTGTAATGATTAGAAGTTTAGAAACTTGGGTTGTAATATTTGTAATGATACTAAGGGTTCGTTTGATTGTAAAAATGGAATTTGAGTGGAAAGAAAATGAATTTCAGATAATTGAATTGCCTAGAATTTGTTTTATCGGGAATTGTCAATTAATTGTGTTTGATTGATATAATTTTTCATTTGGAAAATATTGAAATTTTGGATTTTTTGATATTCGTTTGACTTTATTTTTCATGAAAATTATCCATTAACGTGATAGAATTTGTTACAATTGATGATAAAATTCGTTTGCATTGCAAAAAAAGAAAAAATTGTCTAGAAAAAGCTTTCCCCACCAAAGTGGTAGAAAAAGTTTTTCCTCAAAAATCAATAAAAATGACCAATAATGGGGTTTGGTGGAAAACCATTTGTCAAGAAAATTTTGCCTATCAAACAAGTAAAAATGTGGAAAATGGAAAAACAATTCCTAATTTCATTGAAAAAAAATACTATTAAACAGGACCTAATATTTTGTTATAACGTAAAATTTTAGACTAATATTTATTATTTAACTTGTTTGTCATATGCTTTTTTTTTTTTTTAATTGAAATTGCGCTTTTAAACAAATCAAATCGAAAAAAGTGGGTTTGTTTGATTTTGTTTAAAAATTAAAGTGATTTGATTTGATTTGATTTGAAAAATATATATTTCAAATTGCTTTAAGTAGTTTGGTTGGAAAATTAATGATAAATCGTTCAAATCGAACCGTTTTACCCCCAAGTATGACTATAAAATTAAGATGGTCAACATATACCTTAATTTTGTGATATAAGTGAATTTTCTCAAAAGTAATATCTAGTTCGAACATTCATTCATTCATTTACAACGCAGAAAAAACATCAAATTAAGACGTTTATATATTTTATAATAAAATTTTATTGATATTTATTAGTAATAAGGTGTTTTCATTAGACAGTTCCTTTTTTTTTTTTTAAGTCATTATCATTTTCCGTGGAGAAAATTATTTTCCCGTGCTAATTCTCTTTAGTCCTTTTTTTTTTTTTGTAGTGATTTTTATTTTCCATAAGAGAAAAATATACCTAAATATGCTTAAAATATTCCAAAAGAAAAGAATAAAAAAAGAATAATCCAACTAGAAGAAACGTAAAAAATTTCATAGCCAATCGCAGAATGCCAAAATCTCCAATCTCTGATCCTAAACGGATCTCTTATTTCAACCTCTTATTATTATTATTCGCATTCTCCGCCAAATTAAACCTTAAACAAACATAAATCATGGATGGGATGGCCTAAATTCATTTCTATCCCTCATTGACATGTCTCCGCCGTCACCTCTACCACCACAACCACCAGCTCCACCGCCGTCTCACCACCACCACCTTCTCTGTAAAACGACGTCGCTTCCTGACGTTATTTTCGCTGCTTTCTCTTTATTTATTCTCCTCTCTTCTCCTAAACCAACCTCCGTTTTCTTTCTCCCTAACAACAAAATCTGTTTCCCATTAAACCCGCGAAGATTCCTCAAACTCCCCACCATGTCCTCCCCTTTACGCTACCCTACAACCCCGAGAAGCCCTGGCCGCCGTCCCTTTGCCACCCCTCAGTCTTTATCGGATTGGCTCAAGCCGCGGCTTCCCTCCGATTCCTTCGCCTCGTGGGGAGTCAAGCCGGGAACGAAGAACGTTCATAACTTATGGCTTGAAATCTCTGAGGGTGAAACCTCGCTTGCTGATTCTACTCCTCCCGTCCGCTCCGTCGAGGTCGTGATCGTGCGGATTATTCGAAATGACGGAAAAGTCCTTGTTGAATCACACCAGGAGTTGTCCAACGGTGACGTGCGCACCCGGTGCCGGCCCTTATCGGAGAAAATGAAGACTGGAGAATCCGTAGAGGCTGCCGTCTTTCGGGCCGTTGAGGAAGAGCTGGGATCCATTATTAAAAATGGGAATATTCAAACTTTTGGTCATTATGGTTATGATGTTAATGACATTGTGAAAATTGTTCCGAATTCTTATGTAAAGAAGGTAGAGGAGAGAGTTTCTGCATCGTACCCGGGATTGCCGGCTTGTTATCTGTTGCATACAGTGGATGCCGAGGTGGAGTGGTTGCCAGAAGGCGAGTTTTGTACAGAGGAGGTGGAGGAGTACGGGGATTTTGATGGGAGGAATCTTGCAGATAGCGCAGTTCATTGTAAAAAGCATTACTGGAAGTGGGTCGATTCTAATTCGGTTTGACATTTAATTGCTGGAGTGGAGGAGGTGAGTTTCGAACTCCCGATTGCAGCTTGAGTTTTGGATATTGTTAGTTTTATTTTACAATGTACAGTAATAGTTCTGTATCTTTTTTGGTGGAAGCTTTTTTTTTTTTTTTAATGAACACGAGTTTATGAGATGATAATATTTATGTTGAAACTCTAAAAGTATAGTTGTTCATTAACACGAGAAGAAAGAAACCTTAACTCCTCTTTCAATTTTGTTAAAATTCTTCCTTACTTTCTTCGAAAGTGAATGACGATTGCAGAAGGAATTTTTGAAATGTTATCAAGGGAAATTGAATATTATTTTGACATTATCATTGTTTCGGGCTTCTAGCCCAGCATTGGTGTGTTAGAGAATCGTAGCGTATGCTGGTATTGTCCGGTGTTCATCATCTTATTTTTCTCCATCGTCGATTCCTGATTCCCTGATAAAGCATTTATACATTATCATTGTGAATACATTTTGAATCTTTTGCCAAGGTTGTAGTTTTGAGTTTATAGATTACAACAGAATTATGTTTGGAATGTATCTCAAGAATATACTCCATGTGTACTAGAATAGTTGAATACACAGTACTTTTCAATTATAGTGATTTTGATTGGTTAGTGCTCCTGCTGTAGCGAGTCCTTTATTTCGTGAGGAATTGTCCGGTTTTACTTTGTCTCTGCTGGGAGAAAGGGCCGTGGCATGTACATGATAGAAATGTCAACCTCTTTTAAATCAATAATGCTAAATCTATACTCATTCCTTTACATTATTTTTGACATTGCCTTTGTTTTTTGAAAATTGTGGGCGGGAAAACTATTTTTGTTTTTAAACTGTCCAACGTGGTTTTGCCATGTGACATAGAGGAATAAGTAAAAGATGATATACATATTCTGGTAATGCAAGGCGCACAGCATATGTCAGCAGCAGGAGAGCAAGAGGTCACACCAATCCCATTCATATTGTTCTGATACGAACAGATTTTGTTGAACAAAGTGTTCCAATATTGTATGATGTTTCTTGCTACCTGCTGCTGCTTGTCAATTTCGCCAGCCTTGATGGTCACCTAGAATCCAGTTCTACCTTAAACGAGGTTAGGATGATCGTTGAGAAGGGTATAAGTTTTGGGTGGGTTTGAAACCCCATATGAATCCTATTTTGATCATCCAAACTAAAGTTGAAGCCCAAAATTAAAAGAATAAGAGAAGTGATCCATGAGACAAGGCAGGATCTCTCTGTCGTTAAACAGATCACTGTTGCATGGGACTTGAGGCTAGCTCTTGTTTGGGAGATGAGAAAAGTAGCCTCATAATAGAAGGTGAGGGGTGTCAAGAATTTTCACATTGGACGAACTCATTGCTTTGTTCGTTATGCCGAATCAGTGGCCCAAGTTTATAGTAACTTGTGCATTTGAGAACCTAGAAATTGTGAACCTCTATTGTGGGAGTTTAAAACGATGAAGAGCTTATAAGGCCCTGTTTGATAGGGTGACAATTACATGAAAAATGGAATCTCACTTTTTGATTGTTTGATTGGATTTTTTTTCTTGGCAATTAGAATTCCCACTTCCTCCCACACGGTCACAAATTCTTGGTTTTCCTTGAATTCATTTTCCCACCACTTGGGGAAAATGATTTTCCTGTTTTTTTTCCTTTGCAATGGAAACAAATTTTAAGTGAAATTGTAACAAATTATATCCATTTAATAGACAATTTTCATGAAAAACAAAGTCAAACGAACACCAAATGATCCAAATTTTCAATATTTTTCAGGTGGAAAATTATACCAACTAAACACAATTAATTAACAATTCCCTAAAGAACGAGTTCTAAAAAATTCAATTCCCCGAAATTAATTTTTTTTTCACCCAAATTTCATTCTTGTAAGTAAACAGATCCTTAGTCTCTCAAACTACTGCACAGTTACATAGATAACTTCACGTAAATCTCGATTTAGGTTGGAACTCAACAATCTGATATGGATACTGTTTATAGCATGTTTGATAGATAATAATGAAAAAGAAAAATAGTCTTGTACATTTTACACTTTCCGGTACTGCCTAATACCCCCACACCAATTAGGCACTTCATCAGATGCAAGACGTGCTTATGAACTTGCTTTCTGCCTCCATCAGTCACTGTGAAATAAAATATAATTGTTTGCTTGTGAATAATTTGAGGTGGGCCAAACACTGTTGAAAAATTCCAACATGTGGAGCCACACATTTAATATATTAAAATATACAGTGCTATTGTTTAAAGAATATTAGTCAATTAAAATGATCCATTAAAATAAATTTTGACTAATGGGTATTAGGTTTCATAAAAACATAGTGTAGAAACTGGAATGTTGTTTTAAATTGATGAGGAGCCAATTTGAAACAATTGAAAGATAATGACTATTCAGTTACTATTATCTTATATGGTTATGGTCTCAATTTGATGGTATTCTTGAGATTCTCTGTATCCCCATCAAAAGAGAGTGAAATTGAAAAGAGGAATATCAATCAATTGAAAGATCATAACTTATTCAGGCCAACAATCAAACAATATGAATCAAGGTATGCTTATGCTTCCACTATTTTGTTATTTTCTCTAGTTTCAACATAGAGTTTTATTTAGAGTTTATATGTGAAAAATGATTTGATTAAAACATACAAATCTATAATCCATTTTTGTTTTACTATCAAGTGGTATCAGAGCCACTCCATGTTTGATTCTTGAGAAATTAAAGTTTTAAAATTCTGAATTTTTTGGATTATATGATTTTCCTGTTGTTTTATGAAATTTGGAATTATATTACATGAAATCAAGCATGTTATTGTAAGGATTATGATATAATTAAAGTTTTTCTTCATGAAATTCGAATTTCTAGAATGAAAATTTCCAGATCTGTTAATTTTTTTAAAAAAAATTGGGACGACGTCAAGGGGGAAAAACTCTAATTTTTGGTTTCAATTTAGAAGATTAGGGGGTGGGGGCTTGGGGTGCAAATTTGAAGTTTTGGGGCCACTGTTTGCAATTTAAAATTAGGATTAGTTTTGAGTTATTTATAATTTAGCCCCTGAAGTTTAAAGTTTATTTAAATTGGACATTAAGGTTATAGGTTTAAATATTTCAGGCCCTAAAGTTTAAAGTTTATTTAAGTTGGATCTTAAGGTTATGGGTTTAAATAAATTCAGTCCTTGGAATTTTAAAATTAATTAATTTGGATCATTTTAGTTCTGCATTTTGCAATTAAAGCCTTCAAAGTTTCTGATTTTGTTCTAATTGACCCCAAAAGGTTTTAAAATTTTAAATTTTACCTCCTAAAGTTTAAAATTAATTAATTTTGACCCCTAAAGTTTTGAATAATTAATTTTTGGGTCCTTAAAGTTTTGGATAATTAATTTTTTGACTACAAAAGTTTCTAACAATTAATTATTGACTCATAAAGTTTCGGATAATTAATTTTTGGTCCCTAAAGTTCTGAACTATTAACTCTTAGGCCTCTAAAGTTTCTAGATAAATAATATATGCAAATTTTGGTGTTTTGCTTTTCAAATTTTGGTACAGAACTCATTTGGGAATATAATATTCAAAAGTGACTTAATTGAAGCAATATCTTGCCAAAACAAACTCTCTTGTGGAAATTAATTAACTTCGAATATTAGAAGGATTTCGTGTGTATACTAGTTCATATAGATATTAGTCGGCCCAAAGGAAGGTTAATATTTGATCGAATTGCAAGCACACTTGTGGTGGTAAATGTGTGGCAATTATAAGGTTTTCATGGGAATAATAAATCGATCCAAATATTGGTTTATTATTTGACATGAGTTATTGTCAATGTTTGATCACTACAACAAGAGTACCATTTGTAATTAATATTACTGTCCAAAAACTTGATATTAATGTTGTGGTATGTATCTTGAGATGGGGTTTACCATTTTTTGAATTTATTAATTGTATAATATGGATTCATATGTGAACATACTAAAGTATAAGTTTTCTATTCAGTTAATCCACCCACTTCTTCAATATCTGCCTACATCAATTCTATTCCTGTGTTAGAACCAACATTTAAGGCCTGAAAAGAGAACGTTCAGATCATTATTCTAGAATCATTTAGGGGTGTTGTGTCCAATAAGGTAACTATTGCCAATGAATTTCTTGCTGAAATTGAAAGACGCTTTGCAAAGAACGATAAGGCTGAAACTAGTACACTTTTGACGAACTTAGTTTCACTAACGTATAAAGGTAAATGAAATATTCGGAAGTACATCATGGAGATGTCTCATATTGTTTCAAAATTAAAGGCACTAAAGCTTTAGCTATTTGATGATTCGCTCATGTATTTAATTTTGATTTCTATTCTTGCACAATTCAGTTAATTAAGGTCAGTTACATCTATCAAACGGGTAAGTAGGCTCTTAATGAGTTCATTCCATATTGTGTGTAAGAAGAAGAAATGTTAAAGCAAGATAAAATTGATATTACTCACTTGACAAGTACCTATAAGGATAAGTAATAAAGAATAAAAAAGCTACATCCGGTTCGGTTCAAAATAAACAATGAAATAAATTTAACTGTAACTTTTGTGAAATTTTGGGATATATAAAGAGAGATTGTACTAAATATCACACTTGGTGTGTAAAGAAAAGTACATTTCTCATTTTGATTTGTTTTGAGGTAAATTTAGTATCAATACCTAGACACATTTGGTGGATAAATTTCGGTATCACTACTCACATAAATGTGTGTATGCGGGGTTGCCTGATCTGCCAAAACCAATTGATGCTGAAAGATTCATCTATCGAGGGCGATGACAAATCAGTTAAGGTTGAGGCTATAGGGAATTTAAGTTATCATTAAAGACTTATTATTATTTGGATTTGAAAGAGATATTTGCGGTAACGTCCTTTTGGATAAAATTTGGTTTCTATTTCTATATTGGACAAATTTGGTTACTCTTGCTCAATTGAAAATAATCAGTTTGATTTTTTTCTTAAT